AAAATTATAGTACAAAATATATATACTAAAAGAAAATAAATTAAATATATAGACATAAATATATGTATTTGATATATATGTATATTTACATATATGCTGAGAGTAGATTACTATCTAAACTAATACCTCATTTAATAATCACAATCCTGAGTAAATCCCCACTTTAGCCACACCTGCAAGCATTACCGTAAACAATCTAACTAATTCTACGTAAATTCTTGCATTGTCTATCCTAAGCAGCTACTGAAAGGATAATCGGAGGCATGATGCTGTAGTTGTGAGGGCAGAGAAACGCACAAAAGGATTATTGAAACAAAAGCTCCTCGCTGCAGGGCAGGAAGTGTCAGGACGTAACGGAAGCAGTTAGTCCGACCAGACGACAGAGTCCGACTAGACAGCAGACAAACATATACCTATATATACACACACACAAACACGTATACACATATATAAATGAATCCGTATAATGCAGCTGGTGGCGGTGGTGCGGCCAATCCGTTTGGGGCGCCCGCCTCGAGCGTCGGCTACGGGCAGCCACAGCAGCCGGGAATGGGCTATGGCTACGAGCAGCAGTCTACTGGGGGCTACGATCAGGGCGGAGGAGCGGGCATGGGCTACGGGCAGCCGCAGCAGGTGCCTGGCTATGGACCACAGGGCGTCAGACCGCGCGTCGATGTGGAGGCCACTGGTGAAGTGGATCCCAGTTTGTGAGTAGCCAATGTCGCTTCTCCATCCACCTCAAATGCTTAACCTTTGGAGCTTTGCAGATATCCGGAGGCCAAGGACTCAACGCACAAAGTACGCGGCGCTTCGGGCATCATAGAGATGTTCTTTGGCGGCACGGAGCAGGAGCTGATACCCGTGAAGAGTTTCTATTTCTTCTTCTATGCGGCCTTCGGCTCGCTCTTTCCACTGATGGGCGTCTACTTCAAGCAGATGGGCATGAATCCGGGCCAATGCGGCATCCTCGTCGGCATGCGGCCCTTCGTCGAGTTTCTGTCGGCGCCCTTCTG